ACTGAATGCCAACTTTGCAACGGGGCTTTGAAGAGCACTGTAACAAACTGGCTGTGATAGCTATTAAAATGAAAGCACTCACACTTTTATTTTCATACTGCCAGATGCTATAAGCACTCTAATTCATATTTTAAAATCATGTTACTGCCTTTGATGTTAGTCATACATTCTTTAAACAAATTTTTAGTAGAGAAGTCAGAACTGATGTTTCTGAGAATCTCTCTCTCTCTCTCTCTCTCTCTCTCTCTCTCTCTCTCTCTCTCTGTGTGTGTGTGTGTGTGTGTGTGTCTGTCTCTGTCGTGTGTGTGTGTGTGTGTGTGTGTTTGAAACATTTTCAAGGGTCTATCTGTAGGAAGAAAAAGATTAGTTACATAATAGTCCAATTCTCAACTTAGAAGACCTTTAAGATCTCTGAGTCTCATTCATGTGGGAGGTTAAGACTTGTCCTGTTGATTTTTAGATGTTTTACTATTCCTAAGCATATAAAGTGTTGTGTTCTTATAACATGTTAAGCCTTGCCTCTTACTAAGGCTACCCTTTGACCATCATCTGCTATTTGCTGTTTGTTTGCCCTCCTTCCTGCAGTACCGGTCTTTATCAATAACTTCTCTTTTGGAGCAAATTAATCTGTCCAGATTGTGGGCTACATCCCAGGCTTATTTTTATCTGTGTGTGAGTGATAAAGATCTAGAAGTTGTTTTGATTGGTGTGCTTCTATAACTACAGCAGGATTCCATTTACCACTTAGTCAAGGTGGTAATGAGGGTTTCTGTACCAGGCAACTGTGGTTGCCATCTGGCAAGCCAGCATTACATGCCTGCCTGGCAGACAGAACCAATTAGTCAGTCCCCACACATCCCAGGAGGCCTTGCTGTATTTGGTAACTGGTGTCCCACACTGAGACTCTGATAAACCCATTATGAATTCTAAGTGGAGAAAGGAAGTCATTTCCCTTTGGTATCACAGAACCAGCAAAGAATCCAAACCACGGAAGTCCATGAGTTGAACTGCTGAAACAGGAAACTTCTTCCGGGTGGTAGTGATAAATGCATCCTCCATGTCAGTGAGGAGCTATATGTAGGGGGAACATCAAAGTTAGAATTAGCTTGTTGCTATGAGGGCTTTGTGTTCAACCAAAGGAGTAAACTCAGTCTGGGAACAACAGGGCCTAGAATCTGAGCTTGCATCATCCCAGTTGACACTTCTCAGCCTCATGATACTGCCAAGACAACTGACCTCATCTGTCAGTCCCCTTCTCTGTGAACTAAAGAAGTAAGTGTTTCTGGCATCACTGGGTGATTTGGGATAGAAATTAGTTAATATATATAAAGATTTGACACACAGCAAATCATGACTGCTAGCTTTAAATGTGAGGAAAGAGCTCTTACAGTTATGGAATAAGACACACTTTTTTCATGTTAATGGAAGAATCCTTGATGTGAAATTAATTGAACAGGAGAGCAAAGAATACATACAGAATGATTCTCACTCTGTGTCAACATATAGAGGGTAGAAGAAAATGAAAGCAACCAGAACTGACTTTCATCTTCTACCTTCTATACGTTGCTGGGCAAGGGGAGAGCCCTGTTCCAGACCAAGAACTCAGTCATGAGGAAACTCTATGGAAACACAGACAACTTGGAAGAGAGTCGCCGTCACCAGTCTGAGGTGAATTCATTCTTAAAAAAGTGCTTCAAAGAGCAAGAGAAGTGTATTATTCAAGAAGTTGAAGGCAAGAGATGGAGACTGTAGAGTTAGATCACCCATTCTTTGTCGGGGTGCACTATCACACTGATTTCCTATCTAGGCCTATAAAGTCCTCCTCACCCTACTTTGGCCTCCTCTGACCTCTCTCAGGAGGCTCCCATACCACCTGCAGTAAGGTTGTCAGCTCTTACCCAGGGACACTTAAGTGTGGAGAAGTGGTAACAGCTCCTCTGACTCTGAAGTAACTGAACTGAAGTTTCCATCAGTAAATCAGGACTGACATGGATGATTCTTCAAGAAAGCCTTTGACTTTTGATAGTTTACAACTGTGACTCTGATGCTTTCTTTAAATTAGGCTTTAATTAACATTATTTTATTATGGGGCAAAGGGTATTTGGAAAATGTTATCACTTGCATGTCCTGTCATGGATATTGGATCCTGCGACATAAGTATTTGTGCAACAATATCCTTGCAGTTTGTGTGATTCTGAGATGAGAATCTGGGCTCAGAAGGGACCTGATGGTGGCCAGCAGCGGTTGAAAGTCATCAACCTCTTTGTTTTTCTTGTCACTTGCGGCACTGTCATTCAGGTGCATTACTGTTATTTCCCTGGGGCGTCAGCTCTTCCAGTGCTAGGCTGCTAAGTGTGAATCTTGCTGGAATCTTAGCGCTGCTGAGTTGTGGGGGAATTGGAGACAGCTGTGGTTGGCCCTCGCCATCCAGAAGGATGTTTGGTTCTTTGGTACATCAGATATGTTCTGTCTATGAAGTGTCACATAAAATCCCTGGGACTCCCGCTGCTCTTCTTGTTCTTGGGGCTGAGAACACTCCTTGCATCAAGGGGTCAAGAAACAAGGAATCTTGGAAACTAGTTATGAGCCCTCTCTTGACTATGCAGCATTTACTTGAAGGTATCTTTTTCTTCCAGAATGGTGATATTGTAGTTGAAATACAGTCCCCAAACTTATTTTTGTAATATGACATAAGCAAAGCCCACACTACAGTGGCTGCCTCAATGTATGCTCCTAACAATAAATAATGTGGAACCATTAAAGAAAAATGAAAAAAAGGCACTGATTTTCTATTTTAGGTTTTATTTTCTGATTATTTGTATTATGTTGCTTTCTAGCAATTATGTAATACTTCGTGATTAGGAAAATCAATTAAAATTTACAGAAAATAGAAGACTGAGGGTATAGCTCAATTAGCATAGTGTTTATATCTAGCATACACAATGTCTGCATTCCATCCCCAGCACCACATAAACCAAGCACGGTGGTACATGCCTGTAATCTGAGCGCTTAAGAGGGAAAGATGGGAGTATAAAGGTTGAAATTGGTCCTCAGCTACATAGAGAGTTTGAAAACAGCTTGGGATACATTGGAACTTGTCTAGAAAAAGAGATGAGGGAGAAGAGGAGCAAGAGGATAAAGAGCAGAAAGGAGGAAGAGCAGAGGACGGAGGAGCAGGAACAAGGAGGAGTAGGAAGAGCAGCAGGGAGGCAGAAAGCAGTGGCAAAAGTGGATCAGGCATATTATTTGTACACTTTTGAGTCGCTTCAACTTTGGGGCCTCAGGTTGTCATCTATTATAGTCATAGAAACAACAGTGGCACCTGCAGCAGGTAACACAACACACCAAAAGCACATAAAAGATATACCTGATAGAACCCATTTATAATAAAGTGTCTTTAAAAAAAAACATAGTCTTATTACCAGAGTCATTTTAGAGAGTGACAAAATAAATCAATCAATGCTAGAATCAAAATGAGAGGAAAACTCATTGATATTTAGATGTTCTTACAATGTTATTTTAGTTTTGTTAATTAATTCTTCCTTGCCCTACCGCAGACCATAACTTCGAGGCCACATCTTGGGAAAGTCAATGGAATATACTAAATGGAAGTCAGAAGGTTTGAGCTTCAGCCTCAGTTATAACACTATGTTACTGGCCAAGTTACTTTAACAAAAGGTTCATAGCTGGAACCTTCAAAATACACTCTGAAATCCACTGGTGGGCTGACAAGCACTCCAAATGTATGGTCTTTTGTCTGGTTCTTATGCGCAGAGGATTGGAATCCATAGGCATTCATTTCCTCATATGGAGAAAAACTAGCAAGCATCCCAGTGGTTTTTAAAAGGCCTATTAAAATTATAAGCTAAAAATATTTCTGTTTGAGTTTTATGCAGACTTTAATCAGTATTCTACTAAAATATCTGGCTGTCACTTAATGCTTGGCAGCATTGCAAAACGCCCACTCTATGTATCCATTTAATTGAAATTTCAGTAATTTTTGGAAATGGCATTTTGTTATCAATGAATCATTAGTCTCGTCTTGATTTGGATCCAGTTTTCAACTGGTGCTATATTTGGCTTTTAATTTCAAATTACTTATCATTTAGATTTATCCTTCTCAAGACAGCTTTTATGGATTGTTTGGATGGCCACTAACAGAGTCCAGTGATATGTATTTCCATCAAGACAGTTTTGGGAACTTTTTTTTATAATTAAACATGGTTGCATGAGATTTTGAAAATTACTAATCTATTCTTGTAATGTGAAAGCAGACGGACTTTCTTTTTCCAACAGACTGAAACCTTACATGGTGTGCTGGTTATAATATTCTAGTCAACTTCACAAAATTTAGAGTCATCCAGGAAGAGGGAACTTCAGTTGAGAAGATTCTTCTTTCAGATTGCCCTGTAGGCAAGTCTGTGAGGCATTTTGTTGATTAGTGATTGATGTAGGAGTGCCCTGTCCATTTTGGATGGTGCTACCCTTGGTCAGGTGATCCTGGATTATATAAGAAAGTGGACTGAGGAAGCCACAGAGAGAAACCCAGTAAGCACCACCCCTCAGCAGTCATTGCTTCGGTTCCAGACTCCAGGTTCTTGGCTTCAGCTCTAGCCCTGACTTCTCTTCATGGTTGTTTATAAACTACAAGGTAAAGCAAGCCCTTCTCCCTTCCCTAAATTGCTTTTGGTGATGCTGTTTTTCCACAGCAATAAAAAGCAAACCAAGACACATGGCTGGTGACACTTATTTACTGTATTGATTACCAAGTATCATGGAGTTTGCCACAGGCAAGTTAGGTTGACCAACTCAGTTCGGTACAGACATATGTATTATATAACATCCCCTTGAAATTTATTTCAAATTGAAAAGTATCATTTATAATTTCTATTCTATAAAAATGTACTAACCTCTATTTGTATATGTTTGTGTGCATTTGTTTTTCTCTGTATCTTCCTAATGAATTACCATGAAAAGCTTGGCTCTTTTTTGTTACTCACCCTGCCATCCAGGAATTTGTTACTAGGTACGCCTGTTAAGAATTTTTGGTTTTTCTCTGGTTTCTGACTGCTGCTTGGGTGCTTGCTGTCTTCCTTCTCAGCAGGGTTAGAAGTGATTTTCTGATCAGAAGGGTTGGAGGGTCCTGGCAGGTCTCTGCTCACCTGCCTTGCATAATCAGCCCTGGATTTCTGGAGTGTGGTTTGAGGTTCTGTCTTCGACTTTTCATTCTGATTGCTGTGAAGAGAGTTTGCACCTTGTCAGTCATAGGGAACGCTCATCATGCACGACGCTGGCATGAGAAACAGAAGGTGTTAGTCTGGAAGCGTGAACAGCAGTAACAGCCCTGTGGGATGTGGTGGTTAGCGTGGCTGTCTATCTAAGCATCGTGCACCAGAGAGAAACCATGCTACTCTCTGCCTTCTCAGACTTTTTTCTACTCAACTTCTGAATAATCTGTTTATCTGCTCCAGAACACTTACTATAAGAAATGAACAGAGTCAAAACTGAACAGGAACCATTAGCGTATTGCTCTCTGATAAATCAAATAGGTGTTTCTAGTCTTTGCTCCTAAAAAAGGAAGAAAATCAGAATGTTTTGCCAGGCCCAGGCCTGCTCTTTCTCTCCTCAGTTTTACCCAGAGACTTATTTTTCTCTCAATAATCCTTCAGCTCATTTTAATGTTAATTAGAAAAAAGAATAAAAACTATAGGAATGACTTAAATGTCGCTAATAAGCAAAAAGTCAGCCTTGTTTAATAAGTAAGGATTTATGAATAAAAATAGAAAGATATCACTTAAATGTAGAAAATTTCTTTACAAATAAATCGAGAGTTGGCAAAACAATTGACCTCTGATAACCTAAATTCAATTCCTAGGGCCAAGATGGTAGAAGAAAACTGATCCTCTCAAGTTGTTCTTTGATCTCCATTACTGTACATGTCTGCTTCCCACAGATGCAAATATGTAAATAATTGTAATAATTAAAAACAAAAAATAAATTAAAATGTCAGTGACTACAGAAACCGATACAGGTCTTAAAGTACTGCCTTGTAGAGCATCCAAAGGTTAAAGAGCTGAAACTTTCTAATACATAGGCACATTCTAATTTATATATACTAATGAAAATGCAAAAGACTTTAAAATTTTATTTAGTAATATATGGATATAATGAATACTTCTATTTTATGACTGTATACATGAAACTATTAGAGCAGTTGTGAATAATTTTAATTACACAAATGTCCAAGTATAAAGGAAAGGAAATACCATTTAAACTATAAAAAATGTATTGCACACAATATGAAAGGACAGCAAGTCTAAAAAGTCTGCCGGAAGTTAGCCAGTATCTCTGGGCAAGAAACCTGGGCTGTTGTCAGCTGTATGAAGTCACAGTCTGTCATGCTATGTTGTTGTTATGTTTTCTCTATGAGAAACTATTGCTTATCGTCAAAAATGATTAATTTCAAGGTAGTTATGCTTGGTGTCAAGAAAGCATTCTATAAACTGTAGTTGTTATTAAAAGTGAAGATTTGCTTTAAAATATGACTTATGTCTGCATGAAACATGCTTTAGTATTTAATGATCTGTTTCAAGTTAAGCTACAGTCAGATCTTTGAATTTTGAATAAATGTGTAGATTTTGCAGTTACCTTTTTGTAATGGTGCATGAAATGAAAAAGAATTTGGAGAAAACTCAGATTGGCATCTATGTTAAAGAATGGAGAAGAGTCCTAAAAGGTGAGTACAAAGAAAATTCCTAGGGAGTCAGGGGAAAACCCAGGAGCATAAATTCAGTAGCAAAACAGAGCATGTTTCCAGAAAATGACTCAGACAACATATTCAAATGCCAGTATATTCTGCAAAGTGTCTCTAGTTTAGCCATATGGACACTGTCAGGAGTCTTAGCAAAGGATGTAGGCGGTAGAGAGCTAATGGAAGTGGACAGTAGAGTTGAGTGGGTGAAGGGAAGACAGCAATGAGGAACCACAGACAGAAAGTATAAAGAATGGTGTGAAGAAGTCGTTATGAGGGGAAGGTGGTGGTGACGGGCACATAATCTGGGCTTTCAGACAACTCTTTCCTACTGTTGCCTTTAAAGATGGCAAAGATTTTCACACGTTGCAATACTAATGTGAAGGAGAAGGTATCACTAGAGAAGAGCAGTGAACCTGATAAGGTATGATGTTGTGATGGAGAGGCCCAGAGCAGAAAGGAAACCAGGGAAGATGCAATCAGGGACGTGTGAGGTCAAGTTTTTGTTTGGTGACAAAAGGTTGATAACTGCTAACAGCTTGATTTTTTTTTCCCAGAAAGCAAGGCTTGTCAGGTCTCACTGGAAAGATGTAATAGAAAGGCTGAAATAAAGAGAAATGATTTGCATTATCTGGTATGAAGACTGAAAAAGAGACCTGGTAGCTGGATGGGAAATGAGGACAGGTAGTCAACCAGTTAAGATGGAGAACATGGACTTTGGTAACATCAGGTTGGGAGTATGGATGCTCTCTTCTCCAGGTCCTCAGTATCCCTCATGGGGATGTGGAGAAAGCAGTGGGGTTCACCAAGGACTAGGCCTTTGCCAGATTTGGAAAGCCCAAAGATATTGGTGAAAGGCTAGAAAGAGAGAGGGCAGATTTGACAAATAGTTCCTATCGTGAGAAAAAAAAATACATTGGTTTCTTTAGTCTTAGTATTTAATTTGTCATTAATAATAATATGCTATTAAGTGCGGAAACTTATAGTTTAGAACTGATCTAGATTTGATTCTAGAAGTCAGGCTAACAGCTACCTGTGGGAGTTAATATAGAGGACAGAGGGAGTGTGTGGGACTTTTGGGGTACTGGTATCTTCCCTTTTCTTGAGTAGGACATTTGCTGAATGACAGTATGATATTTGTGAAAATCCAGTGAATGGCAGACAAAGAACATGTGCTTTTGTGTCGGTGCAGCTATAGTTCTCTGAAATGTCTAGGGAAATTGGTGAAAAACATACAAATAAATCTACCTGACGTATGCATGTCTAGTGAGCATTACAAAGAATTAGTACTATTTGGTGTTCAGAGCAAAGAGGCATAACTATGATCTATGACAATAAGTAAAATAATTATATTACTGATTGTTTACTTCCATGATGCGACCCTGTAGCTCTTCCCATGTCTTAGTTTATTTGCTCCTCAAATCAGTTCCATAGAAAACAGATTCTCCTCATTTTCGAATGACGAAATTAAGGTTCAGAGACTTTAAATGACAACACAGATGTTCGATGGTATACTTTGATTTAAATTATCTACTAGAATGCCCAGCTTTACATCCTGCAGGCAGTGGAGTCATAGAGAGATCATGGATATTTGGGATTGTGGAAGGATCTGAAAATAAAGGAGCAGACAGCCAAAGCAGGAAGTGCAGACTTTGAAGGCTGTAGAGCAGACATAACAGCCCTAGATGAAGGCAAAGAACTTACATCATCTTTGCTTTACACACCTATAAAATCCTTCTCTTGGCAGATTCAAGATAGAAATGCCCAAGAAATTCTGCAATCTATTTGTCTGACTTTTAGAAAAACTACACTAGAAGTGAAACCAAAAATAACCCGTTAGGTTTGTTTCAAGTAAAAACTTTTTAAAAAAAAAATAACATAGCACTTTAAAAATGAACATGAAGTAGACTCTCCAGCTGAGAAACGACATGTGTCTCTGCTTAGCACAAACAATTCCTCAACACACATTTCTTGTTGTGTTGTTCACAAACTCACAGTTCCTTCTGCTAGGCTGTGCGTTAGCTACCTACTTTACTGAAAATAGAAGTTTGTCATTTTTAAAAGAAAGAGAAAAGCACACCACCAGCAGTATCTTGGAAGGCCAGCAATCAGTCTCCCGACGCGCACTTCTGACCTCAGCTTCTGATCCTTAGGGCACCGTGAAGAGCTCAGTGGTTTCCCATACTAGAGCAATGAGGGCCAATTGCAGTGCTACTGAGTGATAAGTAAAGGAGGGAAGCTGCCCAACAGTTCCTGCTCCCACACTGAAGACTTGCTGCAACCTGATCTTTAGGAATCCCCACTGCTAAAAGACAGCGTCCTGGGGTTAGAGAGAAACACTGCAGGGTGGGTAGCAGCTTCCTTTGAGTTGGAAGGTTCCTGATGCGTCTCCCATGCAGCTCCACCCTACCAGATCACACATTTCATCTGCATTACATAAGATCTCAAATAAGGGACCCAGAGGGATCAGCAAAAGGTCACTGGATGCATCCTAAAAGTCTGCCAGCCTCGTCAGCCAATCAATGCTTCCAATTTCCAACCATGTGCCAACTATCCTCTGGAGTAGACAGTTTGGACAGTAATGGTAGAGGAACTTGTGATCTAATTATAATTTTAGTAAAATGTTCTTATTTAAAGTTATGAAATATCATCAGCACAACCAGGGTCCTTATCATCATCATTTTAGAAGGATATTAAATGTAAAATAGCAATAGGGAGGAAATACACCTGAGATATCTCCAAACTCCATTCAAAAACGGAAGGATAAGTCTATGATAAAGTATGCTGAAAATGTTATTGTAAAAACCTGTGAGGGTTTTAAACGTTTTCTTTCCTTTCTTAAGCTATGAGAACGCAATAAATGATTTAATTTCCAGAAATTTGTTAAAGTTATGTTAATTTTACTCCTGTACTCATGCCCAAATCAAATCCCCTCTCTATCACTAGCAGTGTCATATATATATATATATATATATATATATATATATATATATATATTACCACACATAAAGTCATATACATTCCTTCATGCTGAATTCATGGTCTGCGAAGCAGATATACTGCCATGGTACAAATAGATGATCAAAGAGATTAAGAAAGTTGTACATTACTGCCTTTCTAGTCAGTAGAGACATTAACCCAGGCCCATATGGCTCCAAAGACTGCATGCCTCAATTTCACACCTGTAATTTTCAAACTATTGATAATTAAACTGGGTTTTAAATCTCTCGTCCTTAAAATGTTGATACAAATTTTAGTAAAAATTAACTTAGAGTGAAGTCTATTCTATCTTTTAATCTAGTGCTTTTGTAGAGCACCAAAGTTGTCATTCAGCCTTTGTTTGTACTTACTCAGAGACAGAGATGCTACAATCCCAAAGTAGCTCAACTCTTTATAACATTTAACTAAGTTATGGTATTAATGAAAATAACCAAAGTTTGTGTGTTTTGACACACTTATACTATAGTATTTTGGAGAATACAGT